GCTAATGTGGCAAATTATGTGGCAGACTTGCAAAAAAAATTGTAGGAAAGGGGACTCGAACTTGGGTGTATGGCATGCAAAAGACAATATGCACAACTAGACCTAACACATATATTTATATCCCAACGTTTTATCCCACCACTTAACCTAACACGTGTTATGTGAAATGTTTAACTTCACTTATATTTATATCCAAAACGTTTTATCTCAAAAAAGGAAATATATATATGATGGGTCTCCTCTTAGATCTGGAGTAAACCGGTGGTTGTGAGCTCTGATCTGTTCGAACCGCCTTTGAATCGCCTCTAGGTCGCTGCAAACACCTGCAAGAACTCAATACCGAAAGTGTTTTCGGTGCAGAGTCTCCGATGCTCAAGTCAGTATGAGAGTGATGATGTGAGCTCTGCTCAGTAGGAGCAGCAGCTGAGAGAAATAAATAGAGAGTGAAGTTAGGGTTTAGGGTTATATCACCTCTTCTTTATATAGGAGCAAATACTTACTTAAAGTACCCAAAATGCCCTGGCCGACTTACATGAAATATCCAAAATACCCTGGTCCATTCGCTATCTGCTTTTTAGTCAGCATCCAGATTCCTCCCTATCTCATAAAAATTCACCCTTATTTAGAGGTCCTCTTAAGCTATGATGAAGTGTTATAATTCGTCGGAGATCTTGGTGCCCCGAAGCATAAGAAGTCCACTTCGAGTATTAGAGGTCGACTTAGGACATGTGTGAGCACTTGGAGACTACGCTGCCCACTCGTCTTTTTTGGTTAAAGTCGACTTCGGGAGTCGACTTAAGGGTATCATCCTGGGACCGTTAGCTTGCTGAAGGAAGTCCTTAGGTGGTCTATGGAAGAATCGACTTTAGGGGAGTCGACTCACGGATGTCGGCTTGCGGAAGTTGACATGCAGATTCATTATCCGGTCGAGTAGCTAGTGTTTGAACCGGTACACTGCAATATGGCTATACCAATATATATAGATTATTTATTTTATATTACTTTTAATTATAGAATTATACATAATTTATTTATTAAATATTTATTGACTACGAAATAAACATTAGTAAATTAATAAATCAATATAAAATATTATATTATTTGTTATGTTGTATAATTAAACTTTTAATGTCATTATTAATGTTTTTATACTAGTTTACCTTATTTAAATTTTACTTAGTTGTATTATATGATAATAACTATATACTACATAAATAACTATATACTACATAAATTAGTATATATATATTATGTAAATATAATCTACTAAATAATATATTATTTATTTATTTATTTATTTATTTATTTATTATATTAATCAAAAATATATTAAATAACATAATATTATTTATCTATTCAAAATAATAACGAATAATATAAAAACTAAACATATTAAATAATAAATAATACAATAATACAATAATCTATAATAATATAAAGAATATAATTAAAAAATAACATAAAATATTTTTTTATGTATTACTTTATTTATTTTTTTAGTAATTATATATATTTTAAATTATATAATACATTAAATATAATTATGTATAACATATAAATAAATTATGTTTTTTTTTGTTTTACCTTATTTAATTTTAAATATATTTAATATCTTTATTTGGTATATTTATTTATTATATATTTAATATTAAATTGTTTACTGTATTATTTAATATATTTATTATATTTTTAATATGTATTTATTTAATATCAAGATCATTCAATATATTTATCTAATATATATTCATTTAATTAATATATATATTTCATTTTCAATATATTTATGTATTTAATATACATATTTATATTTATATTTAAATATGTGAACTAAAATTATATTATATAATATATTTACTTATTATATTATTTAATATATATTTATTTAGTATTTTTTTAATATTTAAAAAATTAATAAGTAAATTATTATAAAAAACAACATTAATGATAATAAAAGTTTAATTAAATAAGGTAAATTAAATATAATTTTATTTATTTATTTAGTTTACTAATTTTTTTTGTAATCGATAATAATTCAATAAATACATTATTTATAAGTTTTATAATTAAAAGTAGTATCAATTGAATAATACATATATATATATATATATATATATATATATATCCTTTTTTGGGATAAAACGTTTTTGATATATATACAAATGAAGTTAAATATTTAACATAATATGTGTTAGGTCAAGTGGTTCACATTCTCGTTTGCATGCCATAGGGTTTGAGTCCCATTTCCTACAATTTGTTTTGTAATTCTGCCACATAATTCGCCACATTAGCCAAAAAAAAAAGATAAAATAAAAATTGAATGCTGTGTATCAGGAGGACCAAACTTAAAATGGGTGCCACTTACAGGACGAAAATTCCAATTTTCCCTGTGTTTGAATGCTGAAATTAAAAGCAGAAGAAATATAAATAGAAATAAGTTTCCGGTTGAGCGTCCAACTACCCATCAGAGCTCATTCATTAATAGATCAGTTTGGGCACAATGTATAACCTGAAATTACACAAATATGACTTTCTTTTATTCTAACCAACACTGTACCAGACTCTATCAACTACTTTCCTGGCCACAACTTGTAGACTTCAAACTACTTACGGATCCTTCCTAGCTACAAAAAGCACTCATAGCGTTTGTGCATAAAAAATAAAGTAAGTACTTCAGGACTATGAGAACATGTGGCATGTGTCATTTTTACATGCATTTTAGAGTGATTTTCGTGCTCGTTTCGGTGTAGTTTAATAATTAATAATTTAATTATTTTTATGAAGCTATGATAAAATGTGTTATTTTGAGTTTTAACGGGAAATGGGGCAAAATAATTACGGGAGTCGAAAACGAAAAAAAAATAGTCGAGGACGGTGTGCGAATTATGCATTGGGAGGTGCCCAAATCGGTAGCAAAAGATGACTAAAACCAGTCCATTATCACTTAACAAAGGCCCAAAAGATTGCTTGTAGCCCAATACAATTTTCAGCCCAAAAGATATTAAATGAGGGCGGAGGAGATGATCAAGTCGGCGGGGACGGTGGCGGTCGGCGGGTGAACTGGACTGAAAGAGTGTTTGGACTTTTGGAATGTGTGCGAGTTAGACCACCTTTATCCGTGACCCTCCCATTTGGTCACGGAATTAAAACAAAAAAAATTAAAAAAGAAAAAAAGAAAAAGGTCATAATAAGCGGCGACCCAGGTCACATTGTGACCTCGGGTCGCGACCTTTTTTTTTTTCAGAAATGGGACACTTATCCTATTTTTATTGGACACGTGTATTTTTTTTTTTTTTTGTTTCTAAAAAAATAAAAAAAAAGTAATAAAATTCTTATTTTTTCATTCTCTACAAATAGAGACCACTTGATATATTTTAGAATACAATTGTAATTTTTAAATAAATTAAAATAAAATAAATATTTAGGTTGAGTTGAGTTGAGGATAAAGATAATTTGAGGTGGAAGATTGTGTTATGTAGGTAGAGGAGAGAGAAATAATTTTTAATTGTTAGATTGGGTTGGATTCAGTTGAAGATAAAGATAGTCTTAGACAGGGATCCGGCTGGTATTTAGGGGTTAGGGTGGGGCCCACTTAGTTGGTGGGTGGGTATTACTTGTGCATATGACTATATTACCCTTAATTAGGGTTTAAATTTACACATTTGGCCATGGTATGCTCCCATATTTACTATATTGCCACTTAATGTTTGATTGTTATTATCAAAGTTTAACTAGATCATAACTGCTGACCTAATGGATCCAAATGCAAATTTATTCTTATTTCTTTCACTATCTATCATTCTCATTTGAGCGTACTTCTATACATATATTTATTTTTCCACTCGGAATATCCACCAGATGGGCCATGCTGTATCTCCCCTCACCAAGAGGTGACAAAAAACGAGCCTAAAAGGAGCAGCACACTCTCCCAAAGGAAATGTAACTTTGGCATGTTTTGCAGACAAGACAACCTAACTGTTTTGAATTTCGTCAGCGGCCAAAAGTTTGGCCGTTATCTCAATACGCAGCAATTCTTTTTCCGCTTGCTTTATTCTGCGTTCTCAAATAACTAAAACATAACATTTTGGTACGAATATGACAATAACTTCTTTCCTTTTATTAATTGTTTCTCTAACATTACACTTTTCACGCAAGACTGTTGACAGTTTGAGTAAGAGAACAGTTGCACAAAGGAACTCCAACACAACATCAAAGTGAAATATCTTAAAGCTAAACATTTCCATTTTACTGTCCTTATTTTTCATCATAATAATACCTACAAAGAGGGATTACAGGGGAAAAAAAAAATGCTACAGTACTAATGGGGCAAGAAAGGTTAGATTTATACACACAAGTGCATACATACAAATTACTAATATATTCCTAAAAGTCAAGTGCTGGCTCCTACACGCTACATTGTCCTAAATATTTTGTAAATATATATATAGAAAATTAATTATATTTAACTATATATACTTCCTCAAAAATGAAAATGGAAAAAAGGACCGACCATTAGTACGAGAGTCGGAAACATCACCTGAGCCAACTATCATTTTTCTGGCGGAGCTTTTAAATAGCCTTGTCGAGTCTCGTGGATGGAGAAAAATTGACCAAGCTGCGTAAGTTGGTTTTTGATTGGTCGACGATCACAAGGAAATACAATTTTGTCCTTCTGGTACTATTTCAGGCATTGCACGTGGAATTATATATTTTTGAAGGCCAGGGTTGAACAAAGTAGCTGTGTGAGAAGGCAATGCATTACTAGGAGCAGGTTGGGCCCGCATTGGGTGGAACCTTGCAAAGCGGTTATATGTGGAGAATCTCTCCAATTCACTCGCTTGGACTTTAAAGTCGACAAATGATAAGCTTTTGTCAACTCTGCATCATTACAAATTCACTTGCATTAATTTATGAAAATGCGCTTCCGAAGGGTAAAAAAATGAGCCATTTTTCTTGATGGTACGGTATGTAGCTGATGGGATCTATCTTAAAGGTGAATTTTACTACATTTGAATCTTTTGTACCATATGCATTCCTATCCAAGGCTAGTTACAATCGTGACCCTCATGAATCTATATCAACCTGAGAAACAAAAAATATGACCACAAGTGGATCACATATTACCTTGATAAATCAGCTTCAACTTTTTTTATGCGATCAGTGAAGGCTTTCACAAGCTCTGAGAATTCGCAGGCTTCTTTTTCATTTGAAGTCTTTAGCTTGTACGGTGACCTGAATGTTATCCACAGGAAAAGTAAGCAGGTTTTTATGACATATACTCATTTTAATTATTAATCATTATTATTCTTCTTCGAAAAATGAGTAATTACATTAGTAATAGGAACAATAAACAAAATATACAAGCAGCTCTTACATGTTATTGGTATTAGATGCCAACTGACCAGTCAGACACCATGCATCTCCCAACTCTAATCTAGCAGCAACATATGCCACACTATCACAATTGAGACTAGCATCTGAGCACAGAATAATTACTGGTATAGGTTGAAAGATCTGCTGCATATGTTGTGTAGTACAAATAAGCCGTTTTTTAGCTCGAACCACTGGAAGGATTTCTTCAACATTAACAGTTGCATTACTTGCCTGAAAGAACGAGGATATAGATTATCACTAACACGATTAGGTAAAAAAAAAAATAAAAAATATATACATTAGTTGTATGCCACAAGGTTTTGTCTAACCTCTTCTGGCTTTCGATTAGAAGCTTGAGCCCATATACACTCAGCAGTGCTGCAAAAATATAAGGTATAAGTTCAGTCACTATTGCTAATATCTTTATATAAAGAAAACAAACCCATAAATATTATCCAATCTTTATCAGTTGATCTCGGAAATTACCCTCACGTTTCACCTAAATACAAGAAAGAAATTCCATTTCTCGTTCAAAGTTGCATATATCCCCTTGACGTTCATTTATCCTTTACTAATTGTACCTTATAGATACTTTCCGTAAATATAAACCTCAAGGTGGTATATTGTGACATTATAAGGAGGTATTTATAATTTTCAAAGATTGTAGTTTTCTGTAACTACACCTGATGTGTCTAGTTTAACTACTTCCTTGTTTGTCATTATCATTTTTATTTGTTTGCTTTACGGTTGGCAAGAGTGGTCCAATGTCTGATTAGCGCATGGCACTTAACAAGGATACGAGGAAAACGAGAGACAAAACAGCCAAAAAAGTAGAAAGACTTAATAAATTTGCACATGAGTTAAAAGACCAGTACACAGTATGCACAGTATGCAGACCTAATATCTTGGAGCTTCGATTGTCCGTGATTTACTTCTTCATGCCAGGGTACCATATCAAGTTCAGAAAAATTACGTTTCTTTGGCATCGAAAGACCCAAGGTCTGGAAAGTGGGCAAAACGCAAGCAGTGCTCGATTTGTTGGTCGCCATAGTGGTGACAGCTGTTGATCGACACAATCTGCTTCCTTGTTCAGTGTTCACCAAGTCCAATTGCATAATTAAACTATTTTCGACTGATTTCCCAGGACCCATTTGTTTCGCTGGATTATTTTGAGATGCTGCATCATAAATGGGTAGAATCTGCCCATTCTTCAATGTCTCGTAATTCTTAAGCCAGGATGGTGCGGTTTCTGAACTGATTTGTGACTGATATGCCAAATTAGGAGTGTCACTCATGCTTGTTGGAAGGTTTTGGCGAAAGATAACTGCCTGTTGGGCATAGTTCTGATTGTGAAGCATAGAAGTTTTTTCAGACCAAAAAACACCGAGCCCTGAAGCAGAATACAAATCCTTTTTTGCACTATCTTTGTGCTGCAATGCCCTCAACAATAAATTCCTTGCATTGCCAATGAAGTGATCATTTTTAATATTAGCATATTTTGGAGAGAAGTTCCGAACTTCATCAGTTTCATCATTTCTTGTGGAAAGCATTTGGTGAGAAGGAGAGTAATTTTGGTTCAAAGAATAGCGAAACGGCCCAATGTCCCTGGCAGGAAATGAAGGTGTTTCCATTTTAATCTCTGCTTCATTAAAAGCCTGGTCGCACGAATTAGTGATCAGCGAACCAGATTTGGCTGAACTTGAGATATGTTTTCTCATTAAATCTTGCTCCTGTGCCCTTCTGCTCAGCAATTTTGTGTTAATTATCTCAGTCGAGCCCTCGAAAGCAGAATATTCTTTCTTTAGTTGTTGATATTCATGAGGAAAAGAACACTGGATTTCTGGCCATAGAGAGGGCGGGAACCCTTCATTCTGATTCAGCAAAACTGGAACTTCGGAGCCACTTGAGTTGGAAATTTTCATTTCAGAAGTATCATGAGAGACTGAAGCACTATGCACTGGGAATTCAGTAGCCATCTGACCTTGAACAAGTGGAGCTGAATGTTGATATTTCATATAATCTATTGTGATATCATTTGATGGAGGTGTTGCACTTGAGATACCCTGCACACATATGTTATATATGATTAAAAAATCTCTTCAGAAAAATAAAAATATATAAAATTAGTGACACAAAACGTAAAACAGAAAATGGTTTTCTATATCAGAAAACCTGAAAAGGTGGAAATTCACATAAGTAATAGTTTTTACCCACCATCGACGGTAAGGAGAACGAAGAGTATAAATGTGGCAACTGATTGTCTGCGGGCCCCAATCTAAATCCAGTGTCAGGTAAATTTCTCGGATTTGAAACTTTTGCATTCAACTGCATTGCAGATGTTTGATCGATTGAAGTGTCATCCATGTTACGATGCTCGAACACACTTACTCTACAAAAGACAATATCCTCATAACTAGACATCAAAGGAAAAGATGTTGACACAGACCACGCATAGGTCAATCAGACATAACATACAAGATATATAAGCTTCATAGTCAAAAGAAGATGCTATGATTGACCATCACATAATGTGATCAATTTCTGGTAGAAATTTTCTGCCACTCTACCAATGACCAGTAGCCAGGGGGTGGAAAATCAACATGCTGCAGGCAATGAATACCTTGAAGAAATCACATTTTCACCACTACAAACCCCATCAGGAGTCATATTTTCTGGTTTCACTGAATGCCCACGACTATTCATCTCGTTCACCTGCAAGGCCATAAGAAATATTGAAATCTAATGAACCAAAAAGGATAAATACTGCAGGGTAAAGTATATCCAGGCAACCTGAGTATAGTTCTTTTGGATGCCAGACACACAATCGTATGTGATCCCTTGAGGCTCAAAATCACCTGTATATTCACGATCTGCATTAGAGAGATATCTTACCATTCTTAGCAATTATGAGTGGTTCAGTATCAAGATGCCAAAGCTAAAGGGTCAGAACACAATTGTAAATACCTGAGAAGTTATTGTGTGGATGGTTTTCATTAGTGCATGAAAAATTGCTATTCTGATGGGGATCATTGTTTGAGAGCTCCGTATGTTCACCAGACCATATATTTGGCGAAGCTAAAGATTCTTGAATCAACTTACTGCCTCCTGTGGGTTGATGTTCCTCATGTTTAAGATATAGTGCAGATTGAAAATTACTGAAGCTGTCGATATTCTGAACCATATCGTGCAGCTTTGAACTTGGAGATGAGGTATTCTGCAAATTCCTATCAACCCAATCATTCTGAAGCTTTTCACCTTCATTCAATGGTTCTGGATTCTGAAAGCTCAATCCACTCCACTCTTCTTGTACACCAGCATCACTGCTCGAACTCACTGCCACGGCAGACTGCATCAAAGCACTCCAGCTACCACTTTGCATGAACGGCATCTCAACTTTGCTATCAAATCCTCTTGAGCTCATTTTGCTGTTTCTGCCAAGTGTTGACTCCCAGCTGAAATCATCTGTATTGTACAGGATCTTCTGTTCTAATGGATCTAAGGAACAATCATCTTCACCCCCTTTCTCAGATTCAAGAACTGATGCACTTTTCTGCACAGTAAATCCTCGTTGGATGTAATTACTGGAGAAAATTCCGCTATCGAAACTTCCAGCTTGCCCGAACGAATTATCCTCTTTATTAGAAAGCAATAACCTATCCCCCACAGTAACCTGTTCGGTCGAAAAATTGTATCTTTGACCCGCAAATGAGCTATCTACGGGGGCTTGGTTCTTATTGGCCAGCCCTTGGAGGTGAGAATAGTCGTTGAACTTGTCACCAGCAATCGGTGCATGAATTCTAAGTGAAGATACGTCAAAATCAGGAGCAAGATTGTGATTTTGTGAAAGAAATAATCCATTTGGCCCATTTTGTTGGATCAATTTCATATTGCCAGCCGTAAACCTTCGTGAAGAATCTTGTACGGCCATTTCTTTAGCAGCCTGTTTTGCCAAAGATATCTGATGCGCATAGTTCTGGTTTCTGTTGTCATTGCCCAACTCTTGGAGCTGTTGTCTCCTCTGCAGTTCCTGCAGCTGTTCGGAAATGATTTGGCGCTGCAACATCTGCATGTCAAAATAGCTTAACTACTTTTGCTGGGGAAATTTATCCGTCCACACTCTAACTTCTGTTAAGTTTCTGACTATGTAATAAGAATGATGCATAGGAAAGGGTGTTACAATGTTAGCCATACCGCCAGAAATCTCATGTTCAATTTCGTCATTCGAGAAAAGCAACTAGAGTGAAATAATTAAAACATGCATAAGCTAGAAACTGGGGAATAATGAATTTCAAGGTTCTACAGATAAGAAAAACCCTAAGAACCTCTTTGCATGTCACCAAACTCTCCTCAAAAGTCCCAAAACCACAAATAAACCCCTCACTGGCTCTCACCTGAGCGAAATTAAGAACAAGACCACACAATCACAGCTCAAAGAACACACACACACACACACACACACACACACACGATACAGCTCTAAGAACACACACACACACACACACACATGATACAGCTCTCAGATACTCGAGCAATCATTAAAGAAGATTCAACTCAGAGCATCGTTCAACCGAAAAAAATCAGCAACGATTAAAAATTTGAAGTGTTTGAAATTATGATCCGAGGTAAAATAATTGAATGTAGCATTCTCAATCGGAACTTACTTCTGAGTAATTCATGAAATGGAGATCAAATAGTGCCAACTGCACTTCATCTCTATCTTCTCTCTTACCCAAATTTGCTTCAACTTTCTCCTCCTATACTCTAATGTGTAGATATACAGTTTGTATCTATAGGTCGGCTTCACTGCTTAGTACTCTCTCTCTCTCTCTCTCTCTCTCTCTCTCTCTCTGAACAGTCATGACTCATGAGGGTGGTCTTCTTTGAAGAAAACTGAAAGAACAAACTTTAGGTCCGGAGTGAGGCTTGGTTTCTCCGAAACTGAGGTACAGTTGCGTGGTATGGTTTGCACAGTGCAGAAGAAACCGCAGCCGTCAGTTAAGGTATTCGAAGAGGTGATCAACGGTGATAACTGAGTTTGATTGACGCACACAAGTATGGACAACTTTGATAGATGTGAAAAGAAAAAAATTAGGTGGTGATGTAGGCGGGTCCCTCTCTGGAGCTCAGCGCATGAGCGAAACGATTTCCTTTTTTTCTTTTTCTTTTTTTTTTTTCTTTTCTCTTTTTCTTTTTTCTTTTTCAAAACGATAGAAATTGTATATAAAAAAAACACAAAAGTACAAAAGTACAACCACCAGCTGAATTCACACGCAGCCACCAACTGAATAAAATGGGAGGGCAGGTCGAAAGACCGCCTAGAACCGACTCTAACAAGACAATATCCTAATGCTGGAGTGTGGATCCCAACAGGATATTATAGTCACACTCGAGCGAATAGGGGCCAACGACCCAAACCTAAAACACGTCATTACAAAACACAACCTAACACACCTACAAAAACAAAGTGGGAGAAAGATTTTTAAAAATAAAATATAAATTACCTATGGATGTGCATGTTAATTAAATATAAATTAATTGTGTTAAATGTGTGTTAGGAAAAATACTCTATTTAAAATACAAAGTGGGAGAAAGATTTTTAAAAATTAAAACTATTTTTTAAATAATCCTAAGGTCTTCCTTACTATTTTGTTGGAGATACTAACTCTTTTCGCGTTGTATTGATGTGTGTTCCTCCTTGACAGATGAAATAATTACGGATCACCGGAACAAACTTCCTTTGGGTTATTATAGGAAAATATATTCGAGACATTTTCATCCCACCAAATGGGGGTCCATAATCCTTTATAATGGACTTCGAATCAAGTAATGTGTTTAACTTATAGATAAAAAGGCATCCTGCTCAATACTGCATTTTTTTTTTCATATGACCAAAGGAACTGATTATTAATTTCATCCGTTAAAAATTTTAGTTGATTTATAGAAATTAATGGTTAAAAAGTTTCTCTTACAAATGTGGAAATTCGCATACGTCCACACTAACGTGGCATGCAAAATTCTAGGTATTTTGAGATGTCGATGACTTCAATAATATATTGTTTGAGGGATCAATATTTAAGTTTAAATTCAATGTTTTGACTAGTAAATTATTCATGATTCTAAGGAATATTAAAAAATGTCTTCCAATTCATTATACGCTATTCTTAAATAACACAAACTTGTTGGTCTCAACTATATAGTATGGGAAAAAAATTTAGACATAGTGTTAACTGTTAAGGGATATATGTTCATACTCATTGAAATATGTACATGCAAGCCTGGGAATACAACGATTAGTCAAGAGAAAAAACAGTATGTGATAAGTCGAAAATACATGCTACTTTTGTAATGTAACTTGGAAAATGTGTTGAACATTTGTGCTTGAAGTGAATAGATTTCACCCGGGCTCCTTCAACTCGAACGGTCTCCGTACCTGCAGAACCCAACGCCGGGGGTGGCCCCGGCGTCGGGCCTCCGATGCCTAAGTCAGTGCTCAGATCAGGAGAGAGAGAATGTAGTATGGAATGAATAGAGAATGAGAGAATGAGGTACCTTAGCCCCCCTTTTATAGGGGGAGTGTACCTTTGTGGGCTCAAGTTGGGCTTGGCCCATATCGTGATGCTTAGTACATACGTGGGCTTATCTTTCAATATATATTCGTTTTCTCCATTAAACCGGGTGTGGTATAATATCATATATCATCTAATCCCCCCCACTCTGGTCGAGTATGCATAACTCGATCCAAGAGTGAAATGCCTCTTCGAGCTGTTTTCTTCAACTTGCCACTAAGATCGAGCATCGAAAGTCGAATGACCATGGAATAACCACTAAATATCCTCCAAATGAGCTTTGAGATTTCAAGATCGAAAACCGAAAGACCACGGAGGTCGGAAATCGAATGATCTGACGTCGTGGTCGAAAATCGAATGATCTGACGTCGGGGTCAAAAATCGAGAGTCGAGAGACCGTTGAGGTCGAAAATCGAGAGTCGAGACCGCTGGGGTCTAAAACTGAGAATCGAGAGACCGTTGAGGTCGAAAACCAAGAGTCGAGAGACTGGTGAGGTCAAAAATCGATATTTGGGACCGTTGAGGTCGAAAACCGAGAGTCGGGACCGCTGAGGTCAAAAATCAAGAATCGAGACCGTTGAGGCCGAAAACCTAGAATCTAGACCGCTGAGGTCGAAAACCGAGAGTCGAGACCGCTGAGGTCGAAAATTGAGAGTCGAGACCGCTGAGGTCGAAAATCGAGAGTCGAGACCGCTGAGGTCGAAAATCGAGAGTCGAGACCGCTGAGGTCGAAAATCGAGAGTCGAGACCACTGAGGTCGATAATCGAGAGTCGAGACCGCTGAGGTCGAAAATCAAGAATCGAGTAATCATCGATGAGGTCGAAAGCCAAGAATTGAGAGACCGTCGAGGTCGAAAATCGAGAGTCGAGACCGCTTAGGTCAAAAATTGAGAGTCGAGACCGCTGAGGTCGAAAATCGAGAGTCGAGATCGTTGAGGTCAAAAATCGAGAGTCGAGACCGCTGAGGTCGAAAATTGAGAATCGAGTAATCATCAATGAGGTCGAAAGCCGAGAATTGAGAGACCGTCGATTGAGGTCGAAAAGAAAGAACTGAATGACCACTCCCTGAAGTCTTGAATTTGAAATTTTGAATTTACGTCTGTTGGGTTTCGATCACCATGTTCGAACTCTCTTATACCACCTCGTCCTATCGCCCCTTAGTTCAAAAGTTAAAATTCAAGCATGTTGTATATTCCTGCTCGTGACGGAATGAATCCCATCTCCCTGCCTTTGAAGTCGAAAAATCAATTCAACAAAACCAAGATAAAATGCAATCAACCTGCTTGTGACGGAATGAATCCCATCTCTCTGCCTTTGACGTCAAAAAATCAATTCGAAAAAACCAAGATAAAACGCAATCAACCTGCTCGTGACGGAATGAATCCCATCTCCCTGCCTTTGAAGTCGAAAAATCAATTCGACAAAACCAAGATAAAACGCAATCAACCTGCTCGTGACGGAATGAATCCCATCTCCCTGCTTTTGAAGTCGAAAAATCAATTCGACAAAACCAAGATATAACGCAATCAACCTGCTCGTGACGGAATGAATCCCATCTCCCTGCCTTTGAAGTCAAAAAATCAATTCGACAAAACCAAGATAAAACACAATCAACCTGATACTGGGATCAAAATCATAAATACAGCATAACCAATCCAAATAAAACCATCCATCTGCTCAAATTATCCGTAATAAACTCCCGCCACTGGGATCGAAATCACAAATACAACAAAACCAAATCAAATAAACCATTAACATGCTCAAGCTTTCCATAATGAACTTGGTCGACCTACCACTGAGGTCAGAAGCACAAATAGCACAAAACCAAATCGAATAAATTTGTTAACCTGCTCGAGCTATCCGTAGCGATTTTGATCGACCTGCCACTGAGGTCAGAAGCACAAATAACACAAAACCAAATCAAATAAATCCGTTAACCTGCTCGAGCTATCTGTAACGAGTTTGATCGACCTGTCACTGAGGTCAGAAGCACAAATAACACAAAACCAAATCAAATAAATCCGTTAACATGCTCGAGCTAACCGTAGCGAGTTTGATCGACTTGCCACTGAGGTCTCCGATAGACTCCATGTCTTCACGACCCAACACTAGGATCGACCACCCAGCCCGGAGGCCTTAGTCATGGTGGATTTTGTCTTCCCTCAACCTACCACTGGGTTAGGAACAAATGTACAATGATAACAACCAAATATAACCAAGAAAAAATCATCGACCTGCCTCCAAGGTCTGCTCGAGCTATCCATGTCTTCACGACCCAACACTAGGATCGACCACCCAGCCCGGAGGCCTTAGTCATGGTGGATTTTGTCTTCATACTGCCCGAATCACCCATAATGAACTCACTCACCCTGCCATTGGGGTTAGGGACAAATATACAATAATACCATATCAAATAGAACCGAATATAAATCCTCGACATGCCTCCGAGGTCTGCTCGAGCTATCCGTGTCTTCACGACCCAACACTAGGATCGACCACTCAG